CACCAATATCAAAACAAACCAAATAAATATAATTTGTTAAATGTTTCATGATACACATTTTCTTAAACATTTGATATTCATTACAAATACTAGTAAGCATTACAGGTTTGATAGCTTGACATGATACTTTTTCTTGTGTCAAAAAAGGTTGAACATTTCTGATGCTTTTTAGCTCTTTTTACTACATGTTGTTGATTTTTATGTGTTTCTTTTTAAATGTTTTTTTACGTTTTGTTTAAATATCACTCTCATTGTAATTAATCATGAAATCCTTTCTACGATCATTCGAACTGTTCGCTTTTGGCATGTACAGAAGTTATTAGTTCCTTGCGGATGTGAAAGCAACTAGTACTGGTAAACTGCTAGACAGCCTGTCCAGGAACAATGTTATGGCTTATTTGTGCTCTTATAATTTCATTGCCATATCTCGAACTATGAACAAGGTGACATTGCTCGATTTAGAAATATCTTACGAAACGATCCCGCAGCGGATACAGAACAAGACAAGGCCAATCTTATAAACTAGTTCTTCAGTCAACAAACTTCTTTACAAGACAGTAACAAAGAACCACCATCTCTCAATACTACACCATCTGTATTCGTAATAATATCACTATATCACCACAAGACATGTTAGACTTAATTGTAAATGTTAATCCCGCTTAAGCATCTGGACCAGATTTTGTCAGTTCCCGACTTTTAAAAGAGGCATCAAGTGAACTTGCTAACCAACTCTCTATTTTCTTCAATCAACTCTTGTATATTTCTTACTTTCCGGGTGAATGGGAAAAAGCTCACGTCACCCCTATCTTCAAAACGTCTGACCCTTCTAATCCTGGTAACTACAGACCTATCTCTCTTCTTAGCTGTATTGGTAAACTAATGGAACGCTGTATTCATAAATATGTTTATGTACAATTTTATAATTTAAAATAATGTTCTCTCTCTTTACCAATCACATCAACAACAATCAACTATTTATTGGAATAGAGTAATACCGTATGGGACAATTGTACACTATCAGAAAAACTTTGTATACAGAAGCTGCAAAAATAGTCACTGGAGAAACTAAACTATGCAGCACAGAAAAACAAAATTATACAATGATTTGAAATGGGAAACTTTGTCAGAACGTAAGAAAAAAAGAAATTAATAACATTCTATAAAATTAAAAACAATCTCAAATGGAATATAGCTTTCGTATATCATCCCATAACACTCACAAACAAGATATCAACTCCGAAACACTAATGACATTCCTAACAAACAAGCTTGAACTCAACTATGTAATGACTCATTTGTACCATTCGTAATAAGAGATTGGAACACTCTGGCTGAAGATACTTTATCTAGCTCTACCCTAAGAATCTTTAAAAGTAAACTAAATACAAATATACGTAATTCATTACGCTATTTTCCTAGAAACAGACAGGCCCACATATTTCAACCACATATTGCACACTCGATTGCGTTAAGGATGTAGCTCACTAAATCGTGGTCTATTTTTAGAAAGTCCATTAGTAATTCACCAAACTGTATATGCGGCGAATAGAGACAATCAGCCATTATGTTCTGTACTGTCCTATCTTTGACAATATCAGCCCAATGACTTTTCAAAATCTTTTTTACGGATCTGAAAACCGGAATATTGTTGGTAATTCAACTGTCTTTAAACGTGTACAATACTCCGCCACGTGTCGCTTTACATCGTAGCGGCCTGATATTACTGTTTATCCTAGAGATTTACTCCAGGCTATCTAAGACCAACTAGAAATGTGTCCATAGGACACGGGTGCCCCCACACTCCACCGATTTCTCAATCTTATGTCTCTAGGTCATATTTTTTTTTTGGCTATATGTGCCCAAGTTGAAAACTAAAAATCTTTTATTAAGTAAAGGGCAAATACTACAAATACTGAATAAATCCATAAGACAGTCCCAAGGTGCATAAGTACACATGCTGACTAACATTCTTGTACTTTTTCAGGCCTACAGGTCAAATACTTTTTGAGTTACGTGCAACGCAAGTTGAATATTGTATTGAATATGTTTTACTAAGTCAATGGCAGTTACTCTAAAAATACTACAAATATCCACAGGAAAATACCCAGGTGCACAACTACACATGCTGAGCAATATTCTTGTAAGGTTTCATGACTCAAGTCAAATACTTTTTAGTAATGTGTGACACAAGTCGAAAATTGGAAATTTTTACTAAGTCAAGGCCAATAACTCTAAAAATACTAAATATATCCACATGAAAATACCCAGCTGCACAACTACACATGCTGAGCAACATTCTTGTAAGGTTTCATGACGCTTGGTCAAATACTTATTTAGTTACATGCCACACAAGTCGAAAATTGGAAAATTTTTACTGAGTCAAGGGCAATAACTCTAAAAATACTAAATATATCCACACAATAATACCCAGGTGCAAAACTTCACATGCTGATCAACATTCTTGTAAGGTTTCATGACTCAAGTTCAAATACTTTTTAGTTACGTGCGACATGAGTTGAAAATTGGAATTATTTTTACTAAGTAAAGGGCAATAACTCTTAAAAATACTTAATATATCCACACGAAAATACCCAGGTGCACAACTGCACATGCTGAGCAACATTAATGTAAGGTTTCATGACTCAAGGTCAAATACTTTTTAGTTACGTGCGACACAAGTTGAAAATTGCAAATTTTTACTAAGTCAAGGGCAATAACTCTAAAAATACTAAATATGTCCACATAAAAATACCCAGGTGCACAACTGCACATGCTGATCAACATTCCTGTAAGGTTTCATGACTCCAGGTTAATTATTTTTTGAGCTACGTGCGACACAAAATGGGAACGGACGGATGGACGGACAAGGGTAAATCTGAATGCCCCCCCCCCCTATAGTGGGGGCACAAAAACTCCAAGCATTGCAGCAGCAAAACTTAATAATAATTATTATTACATCTATATATCCTTACACATTACATTACTTAACGAATCTAAGCCATTCTTCTTCCAACACATTAAAAGATGAATCAACATAAGTATTTGATATTTGTTTTTTTATACCCAATTCCAAAATGTATAAGAAATATATTGTGTTCGTTTCTTTTCATAATGTATTAATATATGTATAACATACTCAAAACTACGTATTTGTACGGAGGAGCATTAGTGCCAGGTGTATGTTTTTTATTAACTAATGCTCTTCCGTATATTTGTAATGTACTGTCCTGTATTATTTTCAGATTCTCTAATAAGCATAGCTTTTCTGATGTGCAATATGTCACTGAGCTTTAAGGAATTAAAAAAAACGTTTAACGTAAGTGATAGTGCCATGTTTGAATATCATATTCTTTTATTTTTTCTTATTTACCTAGTGAATAACGTGTCATTTAGCCAGTCTATAGTCTAATGACGGGAACCAAATTTAGATAGGGAACCAGGACTAAAATACGCAACTGAGAATTTTTGGCGCAACGGGCGCACGAACATATACATTTTTTGCAAAACAAGCACATCATTCATGAAAAAAAAAACAAAAACAAAAACAAAAAAAACAGATTAACTGAGTAAGAAGGTAAGTGTTTTAAAATGTATCACAGATATTTGCAAGGTTGTTTTGAAGGATTCTATGCTGGCAAAATGGCCGCGAAATGGACATATTTTGGTGCAACGAAGTCCTATAAATATGACTTCGCTTTGAGATATTTTTGCTTCTGGGCAAAGCAACGTCATATCGAAATTGCTCAAAAACCCATAGCATGAAAAACAATTAAGACAGCGTGTAATTTACATTAGTTTTGACCTATTTATGAACAAACCTAAAAAATAAATACCTTTTGTCAAAATAATCAAACTGTCACATCCGAAAAATCATGATTAAATCCTCTTATGTATTTAAATTCCGTTTACAGCCGATAAACAAATGGCGGCCATACAGTGCGCGAAATCTGATTGGCTAATTCAAATGCAAGCGTTTACTAGTAACTGAGTCAGAACATTGTAACGGAATATTTTTTTAACGAAATAATTGTCCATGCACCGTCAGTGTGTTCGAATATATTTTTCCGTTCAAAAATTTGGAATCAATATGTAAAGCACCTTGCTTAACCAGTATGGCTGATAGACAAAAATAGAATGATGTTTATATTTTATATTAAATTGGTAAGTACGTTGTTTGAGAGTTTTTGTGTATGATTGAGCATGAAATTGAAAGAAAAGAAGATAAGCTTTTGAATAAAGCTTAAAAGGCAAGACAATAGACATTTTTTTATGATGCTATATGCGTTTTTGAGCAATAACTATATGACGTCAGGCTTGACCGACATAAACTATTACAAGCCTGTAACGTCTAATATATTGGACTAGGTGCAACGCAGATAATTTTCTATAAAGTGAACAATGTATCATTTATAATTAAAAACACGACCCGCATTCTCCCTCATTGAACATAGAAGAACCGGAAGTGTGTGTTATTATGCAATTACAGTTCTATATTTAGACATGTGACGTTATCATTATACACGTGACGTACCCACTAAAATGTGACGCGCTGAAAATAAGTACGGAAACAAATAAGGCGCATTTTAGGTAAAAATCAGGTACGGCAGCATTTATGTGTTGATGTCGTGTTAGAATCGAAAGAATATCCAAATCGGTGATTTTATCGCTTGATAACATCACTGTTTGTCGTTCGGATGCGCATCATTATATCACTCGGGCTACGCCCTCGTGATATAATTCCTCGCATCCGAACTCCAAACAGTGATGCTATCGAGCGATAAAATCACTGTTTTGGATATTATTTCTTAAATAACAATTATCGAACTAAAATAAAATATAAATATCAACTTAAAAGTTTGTCGATAATTTCATTAATTTTTTGTATTTTAATGTTTCGGCAGATTACAAATGCCTACGAAATGGACTTATTCGGGCTCTCAGCGCAACGGAGATAATTTTATATAAAGATGAATGTTTATAAATTACAATAATCAAACTAAAGTTTATTCAATATATTTAATATTAAATCATTAATTTATGAAAGTGTTTTTTTTAATTCAATAGAAATATTTTTTAATATTGAAGGATTGTATATGCCGGCAACATGGACATATTCTCGGCGCAACTGTTAAAAGTAAATTTTAATATGGTTTACTGCTGCGATCTACCTTTCAAATCCGTTGACCACTACTATTAATATTATGTCACAAGGTCAAGTATATTTTTAACTTTCTGAGTAGACTTTTCTTTTTCGTTATATCCATGCCATTGACCAGTTATTGTCTTCTATAAATGCATGTCCATTTTGTGTTCCGTAGTTCCTGCAATCTATAAACTATATCTGATAATATTAGCATTATAGCTAATTTCTCTAGACTGCGCATGCGCATTGAATTAAAAGAATGTAAGCCCTAAAGAAATTCTTCTGATATCTGTTAACTGTCATGTCTTAATTTTTAAAAAGCTAATTATATTTTAAATAAAAAAAATATTTTAAATGAGATTTTAACAATTCAGGACCCAAAAGGAAACGACCATGTATAGGTTAGAGTGTATAACATGTAACATGTATAATATATAACATGTATAACAATCCTTTAAAATGTTAACTTTTTATAAATATTAACTTACTTAGTGTTTAACAGCATCTATCATAAATAAATAAATAAATAAATAAATAAATAAATAAATAAATAAATAAATAAATAAAAAATAAATAAAAAGGACATTATTTACATTGTGTACAGCTGAATTTCTTCATTCTTGCAATTTTCTGGTGAATGATTTATGCAATAAACATAAAAGTTTGAGCAGGAGGGGTGAGAACATTTCCTTGTGAACTATACCGAAGTAACCCCTAAACAATGTAAAATGAGTTGTGCATTAATTGATAAATGACAATCATCATCCATTTGTTATAGTTCAAAATAGTCAAAATACATGGGTTTTGTCTATATTTTCTCCATGAAATTATAACATTTTACAAGTAAATTGGTTTAGAAAAGCTACTTGTAATGTTTATTATAAATCACATGCTGAATGAGTCATATCACGTGAGGCTATAATTTTAAAAATAGTAACTGGGAAAACACCGACCTTCTTTCGATCTTATTTTGAGGATAAAAATAGCGATACAATTAAAGATAATTATACGTGGTAAGTTAGTTTATGAGTTTTATCTATTGTTTATTTTGTTATATATATATACATGTATATATGCCGAAGTAAACTATTGTATAAACCACCGAACACTGAATGCAATTCAATATTTTACATGTACATGTAGTACAGTTTTACTTAAAAGGATGTATATGTTTGTTTATACATATTAAAACATGGTATTGAAGTTATTTTCGTTATTTTCCTTGCATAAATCCAAAAAAGTACACTCTTTAATAAGAAATATTCACAATACATATTGTTTGTGTTGAATGCAACAGTTTCTCATGGACGAACCATCGCAAAAGTTTCTGGTTAGTATTCGTTTCAATTTCGAAATTTCGTTCAGGTGAATTTAGACTAGTTTAACACTATTTTAATGAATATATAAAAAGACTAATTTTACGTGATCTGTAAGGCTAAAAAATTTTGTTCGGCACCTTAAAATATGCACGACCCTACCATTTTTAGGGTTGATGAAATATTAAAAAAAAATGAAAAAAAATTCACAATTTCCCATAAATTTGATTTCAAATTTAATTTTTTTATTAATGAAAACGATGTTAAGATACTCTTAAAAGTCGGCCAAAACTTTGAAAAAAATAGCCAAAAGAAATATGCGATCAGAAACCACGAATTCGCCGTATGAGGGCAACTGCACTGCACTATTACTTTGAATTTATTTTAAAAGAAATTTGTTAGATTGTCAAATAAATAACAGTAAAATTTTGTCATTAAAATCAACCACGGTAAATTTTGCCTTAAATTACAAATTTGATTTTTTTACAATGCCTGACGAAATTGCCGATAAAATCTTATGATGAACAAACATACATGTATTTGATTTGATATAACTTAAATCATCAACAACTAGAACTGTGACTGTTTCAGCAGAAAACAGACACGTTTTCATTTGCCACATATTTTTGCGATGCTGCTTTAAAGTCACCAAACAGGAGTAATGTCTTATCAAAATGTGTGTTAAACACTTAAAATGTAGTTTATGAATAAAAATTGCTTTAATTATTATCTATATTAGTTGAGATGGTGATATTTGTTAGTATATGTTGGTCACATATTCAATGAATATTTTTAAGGGAGGGGCATAATAATCTGATGATGTAAGGTTTAAAAAATTATTCTTGAAACCTGTACAGTACAGTGTGTTACCCATTTGGGACATTTTACCATTGTCTGCATGTAATTAATTAGTTTATATGTAAGAATAAAGTTGTTACTGCTTTACATCAAAATATATTTTTCACAGTTTGAACTTTAATGCCTTTAAAAATTCACAATGGCATGGGCTGTTTCACACACAAAAAAATCCAAAAAAAAAAAAAAAAAAAAAAAAAAAAACAACACTGGTAATGAACAGGTTTCATAGCCGCACAGTAACAAAAAAATGGTGGCTGAGTTTGATCAGAGGCATGATCAGAGGTTTCATTGTCAACATCTGCAGATCACGAACACTTATGTTTACATTTGAACACCTGATAAAACAACAGATCTAAGTCGTAAAACAAAGAAATCATATTGAGATTTTTTAATTACTCTAAATGTAAATTTTCAAGCATAGAAAACATCTTGAACGCCTATTTGCAACAGATATTGAACGCCAAGACGCGTTCCATTTCTTAATACTAGTGTTCAACTTTTGTCTCCAACCGTTCATATACTAACGCTTTATGAACATCTAGTGTTCAAATTTGAACGTTGACGTTAAAATCTTAACAACAAACCATTCAATTATAGAACATGTTATGAACATTCAGGTGTTCTACTTTTAAATTTTTAAACGCATAGAACATGTTCAAAATTAGGTATGTTAAAAGTTAGAACACTGATGAACACTTATGTTTACATTTGAACACCTGATAAAACAACAGATCTAAGTCGTAAAACGAAGAACTCATATTGAGATTTTTTAGTAATTGTTTGTACATGTTAACATGAATCTTGCGTTTCATATCAGAACACAAAACTATGAGTAATAATCACACAGCAAAGTAACCTGTCTCTCAATTTACTAGCATTGTTTTACTTAGTGTTATTACATGTTGTATTTTTATGTGTTATATTCTTGTGTGCACGAATGCAGTCTCCTTAACATAACACATGAATTCAGGATGATTTCCTAAATTTCTTCTCAAATACAAACTGCTGCGAGAGTCTTGAAAACATAAACAATAAACAATATTCTATGTCGAAAACAAAGTTTCAAGTAACTGAATTTTAAACATCAACGGACAGTCTCCAAAGCAATAGTGCTCCCCTCTGTAGTGTATGTCATCAGTTTGTGCGGGGTGTTTTCATTTGTCTCCAATTTAGCTGGAAAATCATATTCTTCACTATCCTGGAAAACATTAATGGAATTTATTAACATGCTGTTGATTTAAAGGCTTATAGTTGCTTCCTCTGTGATAAATCATTTTTTACAGTCTGATATGGAGCAGCGTAAGTGGTTGACATACATGTACGAGGGTTGTCCAAAAAATTCGTGCACTGCAGTAATTGTCGTAAGAGTTATTAATAAAAACAAATTAATTATATATCACTTGAAGGGGAAATCTGTCTCAAATAAGAAAACAAAAGAAAAAGCCGGGTAACTGGCGTGTCGTGTAAAAGAATGGTCATTAAGTTACCTTAGTAACGTAATACCGGCGCACGGCAAAAAATTGGGTTTGTTCATTACTGTAATTGTATTGTTTGTTGCTTGTAAAGTGGCATTTGCTTTTTATGTTATAATTTGTTTTACTGTCAAAAGAGGAAATGTTGATGCATAGTATGTTGTAGTTTTTATTGTTCTTATGCAACAGACATGTAACATATCCCACCAGTGAACGAATATATTGGACAACCCTCGTCACATAGTCCGGCATTATGGATGGACGTCTGCCTGACCGGTTGTCATCGTCTACCGACTCTCGCCCTTCTACACAGCGTTTGTGCCATTTAAAAACCAGCCTTGGTGACACTGAACTTGTCCCCGCTTGCCATTATAAGTTCTTTGTAGGTATTTGTTTGTGTTTTACCAATATTTGCACAAAATGTAATGATCGTCAGTATTTCCAGACATTTTTACGTAATTACAATATTGACGACCTCACACAAATGTTTGTTTACGACATTACAATAGGGCAAATGACGTAATATTTTATAGTGACGTTTGGAATACGTACACATACTTTTCCCTGAATTTTAACGCTTATATGTTGTGTTTTAAGAATACCGTGATGCATCAAAGTAATGAACTAACCCACTTTTTTGTCGTGCGCCGGTATTACGTTACCAAGGTAACTGTATGACGGTTCGTTTTCACGACATGCCGGTTACACGTTTTTTTTTTCTTTTGTTTTCTCATTCGAGACAGATCTCCCCTTCAAGTGATGTATAATTAATGTTTTTATATCAAGAACTCTTACGACAATAACTGCAGTGCACGAATTTTTTGGACAGCCCTCGTATATATATTATGTATAAGCATTATCTAACGATTTATCGGAGTCCGATTCATCCTTGAACTTTACATGACCTTTACCATCAATTGATTGAATTCTTTATATTTTTATAATTTTTTTCATTTATTTATGGAAATGATTCATACCTGGACAAAATAATATGTATTACTAGACAGACCTTTTTAAATTAAGAAAGGAAAACCTTCATTTTTCTTTCTTTAATTTTCTGTTCAGTTATTTATTTAAAGGTCCATTATGCCTCAGAAGGGTACTGAGCAGTAATATATTTTTTCTTCTCAAAAACTGTTTATTTTTAGTAATTTGTTACAGTGTCCAAAATATACTCATATGCTACATGCATGAACTATCGTCTGCAACTGGCAATTAGAATAGATATAGAGAATAAGTATTTTGTATGGAAGTCAAAATACTACTTTGTTTACATTTTGCTACTTTAACGACACATTACTGCACGTTCAGCACTCCGTTTTCAGTTGTAAAACATCTAACATGCTTTTTTAGCATTATTTAAGCATTTTTATACACATGCTTGAAATTTCTAAAGAAATAAAAAATATGGATTTCTGAGGCATAATGTGCCTTTAAACTGCTTATAAAAAGTAAAAAAGTCGAGCGTGCCCACGCCCGGTCGTGGCTCTTTTTAACATTGTAATAATTTATATGTACATAGATGAGACAGAAATAAATGCATGTATGATGTTTTACTGCATTTTTCCAAAAATGTATCATTCTGTAATCAAACATGAAAAGTTCACGTTTTCTTGTAGATAATATTTTAAAGTGTCAGTCTCAACTGTTGTCTATCCTATTATATTTGAAATGTTGATATAATGTCTGTCTAGGGGTTTAGAATATTAAATTCCCCATCAATAATATTTTCGTTACCAAAAACAAATGTGTTAGGTAAAACATTACTATGGTGATCATCCGTGTTAGAAATATTTTTAAAACTTTTCCAAATAAAACTGTTATTTTTTCTTTTCTTTTACTGCGTCATAACAATTTACTCTTGCGTTTTATATACACTTATTTAAAATCTTATAATTTCAATGTTTTTAATTTGCGAATTTAAATTTATGATAAATCAACACTTTTTTCATCTGATTCCATTTAATTTGATGTGAAGAAATTATTTTCCTATTATCAGTGTCATAAGTGCATCGTAGATTACCCGAATGCATTTAATGAAAGATTTATTCTTAACGAGTTTCTTCATGAGTTAAAGTTAATATTTGAAGTAAGTTCTTTGATACGTAGATTATACATTTGGAGACACAAGATAATTAATAGATAAATATTGGGAGTTCTTGTAACAACGCAATTTGGGGTCAAACGCATTTTGGTGTCCATACATTCGTCCATCACATTTGAGTTTGACGATCTTAACGCGGCGCTTTTAAGCCTGAGATACAACCAGTAAAGATATTAAAGATATATCCCTACAATGACAAGTGGTAAATAAAATACGTGTAAATCACATTTGCAAATGTTCTAACACGTCGAGGATAATATGTAGTTATTGCTGTTTCTTTTTCATCATTCAGAAATTCATCTTCATTTAGTACAAACCAATGCATTTTTCCATCTCGAAATTCCAGGCTTCCGGAGAAAATGAACTCTTATATAGCCAGAGGCATTGTATTTGACGTGAGGAAAAGCGTTCAAGGGTTTTGTTCATGTGTATGCTTTGGTCAAAGGTGTTCCAGAATATGTCCATCAATTGTAACAGCCATTCTGATACCTTCCGTCTTTATTCTACAAATGACAGGACTATTTGTTGATCAATGGGTGTTTGACGGTCAGTACTATGGTTTTGACAACTCAACACGCCTTGCCTGCCTTGATAGAGGTAAGACTTGATGATTCTATTTTTACAGTGTCACATTTATGCTGTCTTTCCGTTTCAATTCGTCAATAGTAATTTTGTCATAAAATGTCAGAGGTATTTCTGTTGGTAGGTTATTTATACCTTTGTTGAAAGGCAAGGGATATTTCTTTTAGAAGGTCAATTTTATATCTTCGTTGAAAGATCAGAGGTATTTCTGTTAGATGTTAGAATGCCATTTATACCTTTGTTGAAATTTCAGAGGTATTGCCGTCTAGAATGTCGGTGATATTTTTTACTCTTATATATGAACAGCTATTTCGGGGTCTATGCAAATAGGTCACGTATAATGAGAAATTAAAAGAATAAAAGAAAATATCCGAGGACTATTTGATTTGTCATACCACAATAAGTTGTTCGTAGTATTTGTTTCTAAAACTTTTTTTTTAATTAATTAAAACGTAACAATCATATCTGGATTTCGCTTTGGTTTTATGGAAAATGCATACTTGAATATCTAAAAATCACTATTGCCATGGCTTTAATGATAGTTTGCATCGACGTATGTATTTAGCATGTGTTCACTAGATAATGGTAACATTATCATTGTTTCAGGATATAACTCTGGATCAGATAATTACAGTAACTGTCTGTGTGCATTAGAAATTTCGTGTAATACATTAACCTGCATACTTTTATTAATCTGGTTGTTGGTTGGATGTAAAACATGCTGTCAAACAATGGACATTGACACTTGTAGAGTTTGCTGTGTTTGTATTCTACCTTCCCTCAATATAATCTCAGGTAATTCATCATCATCATCATCATCACCGTCATCATCATCATCATCATTGTCATCATCATCAAGAACAACAATATCTTGTCTGCAATCAACTTTCACAGTGTTCTAATTCAAACTTGGACACATCCTCATTTAACAATATTTACATTTATGTCCGGTACGAACTTATTTAACACGGGGACATTAGTATCGTCCATAACACGGTGACATTAGTATCGTCCATAACACGGGGACATTAGTATCGTCCATAACACGGGGACATTAGTATCGTCCATAACACGGGGACATTAGTATCGTCCATAACACGGGGACATTAGTATCGTCCATAACACGGGGACATTAGTATCGTCCATAACACGGGGACATTAATATCGTCCATTACACGGGGACATTAGTATCGTCCATAACACGGGGACATTAGTATCGTCCATAACACGGGGACATTAGTATCGTCCATAACACGGGGACATTAGTATCGTCCATAACACGGGGACATAAGTATCGTCCATAACACGGGGACATTAGTATCGTCCATAATACGGGGACATTAGTATCGTCCATAACACGGGGACATTAGTATCGTCCATAACACGGGGACATTAGTATCGTCCATAACACGGGGACATTAGTATCGTCCATAACACGGGGACATAAGTATCGTCCATAACACGGGGACATTAGTATCGTCCATAACACGGGGACATTAGTATCGTCCATAACACGGGGACATTAGTATCGTCCATGACACGGGGACATTAGTATCGTCCATAACACGGGGACATTAGTATCGTCCATAACACGGGGACATTAGTATCGTCCATAACACGGGGACATTAGTATCGTCCATAACACGGGGACATTAGTATCGTCCATAACACGGGGACATTAGTATCGTCCATAACACGGGGACATTAGTATCGTCCATAACACGGGGACATAAGTATCGTCCATAACACGGGGACATTAGTATCGTCCATAACACGGGGACATTAGTATCGTCCATAACACGGGGACATTAGTATCGTCCATATAAATTTACAAATTTAATCAAAGAGTGTAGAAACAAAGTTTTATATGTCTTTACAAGTTGCTTAATAAAACTATCAGTTTATACATGTATAAGTTGTTCTTCTATTATTTCACCATGTTTGTTTTATAAATAAAATGACAAATGTTTATCTTTCAGGGATTTTAAACTTGTGTTGTTGCATTATTGCAATGCAATTCTTCCATGAAAACAAAGACAGACAGTTATCATACGGATTTTCGTTTTTTGCGTACGCAATTTCCGGAATTTTAACATTTGTGATTTCACTTGTGTCTTTGTGTGGATATGTTTGCATAAAGGCGTTTAACTTGAGGAATGTTTATTATATTCAAGCTGGCAGTGATGATGCAGAAACAGAGACAGACAGACTTGTAAGGACATAAAACTGCTGAAAGTTCAAGATATGGAAAGGCTTGTTATATAGTTTGAATTCGTTATTTTTAAAAATTCAGTAGCGGATTTTAATGACCCTCCATTGTTTTCACTTAAAATGTTTTGTTGTCTTTTTTTAAGTTTAAGCAAAATCCAGTGTCAATCACATGAATGACTCTGTATGCTGTAAGATGTAAATATTAGAAAAGTGTTTGCTATTTTCCTCATGAAATTTTTCGTCATTTTAAATTATTTCAATATTCAGTGTTTTGTATGCTGATACACGTAGCATGAATAATATATTATGACTTTTATTCGCACATTTTGGATATAGCACGGTGAAAACTGGGTCATTACTGCGTTACCATTGAGAAACATTAGTTTTTAGAAAGATTCTTGAATTAAGATATATTTACAAAATTATATGTACTTTTAGTGATAAATGAGTTGAACCAGGGTAGTTTAACAACTTTAACAACTTTAAATGTTTATATATAAGGATGCTCCATTGATAGATGATATGACTGGTTTTCTGAACCCATCCTCTTTCTGTTTTACCAATTCTGACACATTTACCTGTTTCAATTACCATTTTCAGATATGTTTTTCTTTGGTTTTGTGTCTTTCTATTTCAAAACAATAGTTTCTAAAGTTAGATAACGATGAAATAAGTAAACATTTCTTTATCTAGAGTTAAGAGTTCTTAAATGGACTCCACTAAGGATTATTGACTAAACGGAACTGGAAATATATTTCCGAGAATTTGTGTGTAATTTATTTTAGGTCATTAATGCACACTGTGCATTCCATGGTGCATAATGGGAATACTTTTATTAAGTTTTGTGGTGTAGTGGTTAGCATACTGGACCGGCAATCCAGAGACCCATGGTTCGAGTCCCGGCTGCGGCATGCCGATTCTTCGTGCGATTATTCTATATATACATGTAATTTCCCGTTCCTGACTTTCTTTCTTTCATATATAAACATAAAACACCTGGTGTTTTGAAATACAAATTATTCTGGTAAGGAGAAAATAATTGTTGAGCAATAAAAACGAAAATAAAGAATGTTGAGAATTTGTAGAATTAATTTGATTGACTCTGATCATAAGCACATCTTTAATTTATTGATTTAACTTCTTCACCGTCTCATTTTCTATGATATTTTCTGATACATTTGATAGATCCCTACTCTGACCATTTATTTGAATTACAATAGATTTCACAATAAACATTGACATGTGCTCTTTTGTTTCTACTGCATTTAGGGCCATGTAGGGATATATCCATACTAAAAAGAGCACATACACTTTATGTTATTATTATTGCTGAATAGAATAACATTAAAGTAGACTGATTGTTTAGCACAAAGATTGAAAATCTTCTGCTTTTTGTATACAAATTGATGTATATGTTTTCACGTGATCTTCCTGAAGTATATTATTCATCTCCCGCGGTCTACCCTGACTCTGGAATCTACAGGAGACTAACTTGTGTGTAAAATTTCAGATCATTCAGTGCGTACTTTAACTAAAACTGCTTTTGGACCTTAATTGAGTTGCCGCATGCATGAAATCATTGCTAAAAATAAATAAAATAATAAAAATAAGATTACATTTGTAAAAAAGGCTATGGCACCGTATTAATACAGCACTAAATAGTAGGAACAGGTGTAGATTTATTTTGTTTCTATACAATTGAACTTTCTTTGTCATAATGCAGCAGTATCTAGTGATTATTTTTTATTTTTTTTTTATTTTTTTATTTTTTTTTTGGGGGGGGGGGGGTCAACGTCATATATCAGCATATCAAAATTAATGTTAGGCAATGTGCAGATGTGGCTTAGGCCGTAGTGCAATAATTCATTAAACAAAAAAGAGTTCTTACATGACAAAATTTAGGTATTTACTGTATTACACATTGAAATACAAAAAAGTTATATTCTAAGTTAGATACTGTCTTTTCAATTAAGCATTACCTATTTCTGCAAACATAAAAAAACATTTACGATTAAAAATCATCATTATATATATATATACATGGTGTGAATCATTGGCGACGTCGGTGAGGCGTCGTCTCTTATGGAATGTCTTTTTTGTGATACAGTGTAGGAGCTGTTATTAAAAGTTTAAGTTTTACTTTGAAAATCTTAAAAATCAAGTAAACAAATATGTTTATATTTGTATTTAATAACTTTATTTGTAAAGCATGTGCATTGTGATATTTATTTTTATGAAATGGCTGGCTCGATTTAACAGCTTATCCCTTATTTTCTCTTTATTAAAAGCCAGACTCCGAACATTGTGTTCAACATGATCCTTTTTTGGTCATGTTTAAATTGAAGTAAAATGGGTTATTAAGCACAACTTTCTATCTATTGCAATTCAGTTTTTTTTTTATCTTTCCTTGTTTTTGAACACATGTTGTCTGTAAAAATTAAATGGAATCAAGATCTTGACCAAGAGCCTCGGTTGACATACAATGTCAGTATTGTTTAGTATTTCTGCATTTGCAATATCTTGGATGACTTATTCATAGGGTCAAGAACACAGGGTCAAATATAGCTGAGATTTTTTAGGCACAGTATTAGGCTTGCAGTTAAAATATGTTGATGTTTTAATTATATGTCTTTCATACGTCTATCACGTTGATTTGTTTGTTTATATTTTTTATGATTTAAAATTCCTTCTTTATAAAAGGTAAGTATTTTCGAGCTGGATTTTACTTTTCCTCACCTTTAACCAAGATTTAGGACGTTTACTTTCAGTAATATGTGCAGTTTTATATGAAATAAATGTACAATGTATACGAAAATGTTTTGCGTGTTTGTTTTTAGATACATTGTAATAGAAACCTATATTGCTGTATAGAACACTTTATAGTAAACATGTGTGTGGCGCCGTTATATGTCGCAACGCCGCTAAATGTCGCACTTATCGCTAAATGTCGCACCATTGCCGCTAAATGTCGCAACCGCCGCTAAATGTCCCAAAATCATTTGCCGCTAAATGTCGCAATGTCAACGTTAAATGTCGCAAGAATTTCCCATACCGTTAAATGTCGCAACACTGCCGTTAAATGTCGCAAGATGTAAATTCATGTTAAAATCATGATTAAAAATAGTATTATTTTACTTTTTAACGCTCTCATAGATATTTTTTTACTGTAATTGCCATTTAACAAAAAGTATCTTTGTTTTAATGAACCTAAATATCGAGGTTTTGAGCTGCTATATACTAGTAATGTAATCTTGACGCTAGAAAGCTTATTCTAGAAAGATACAATTGAAATTCAATTCTCAATAGATAAGTATTTTTCTTTTGTCTCCCTTTTTCATTTATAACCCTGATTGGCAACATCTTAAAGGTATTATGATATTGTCGCTATCAGAATTCGGTTTAAGTAATTTCATTGATTTGAAGACCTTTTTTGTTGCTAATTGATAATTTGAATCATAGGATAGAACACTTAGCATATTAAGCCCCGCCTATAAAGTAAGCACGAATGTCTGATAAAGCGTTATCATCCTGATTGACTATAGTGTATTGGGAATGATCAGTGTCCCTGTGAATGTCAATGTAAATCGTGCATATGCTTAATCCTCCTTATAAATATATATGTATGTCTAAAAATGGAAAAATATTTTAAAATCTTCAGGACATATGAGGGATGATCAAAAATAAACCGGACTGGGGCTGTCAATTGAAGAATTTTCAAACTATCACTTATTATAATATATCACAATGAATCGGAAAACTATATACCATATCTAATTTGATAACGCAAATAGCTTGTACGTAACAGCGATTTAAAAAAGCATGGCAACGCACACCGGCGCAGTAATAAATTTGCGCTGACGTTTAAAGCGCTTGAGTTTAAACTCTTTATTTTTACGCTATAACGTCACAGTATTTTTGCAAAATGACCTGTATATTGGCTCCTCCTCCTAACAAGTCATTTAATTAATAGGTTAAGATCAAAATCTAGGGAAATATGCCTATTTGGATATTAAATCTGCATTCATCCTTTGCAGGAACATTAATTGCTTGAATAAATAAACATTTGCCATTTTAAAGGATCGGGTTGCACTATTTTCATTTTCAACGTCAAACAATAATTTCTAAAAAAATTTATAGATATCGTTCAAATCGCAGTAGTTTAAACCTATGACTTTCTGTTATTAGGTTAAAATTTTGATTTTCTTACATTATAACATGTGACGTTTAATTTAAGTATTTACATATTAAGTGATTGAAATCGATGCCGAAAACTAAACCATCCGAATTCCTCAGCATAATTTGCACAAATTCATGGTCTTTAGTGTGAGCATCAGTTTTGAGTTTTCTTACTAAATGCAAAAGAAAAAAAAAGAAGAAGAAAATTAGTAATAAAAATAATTATGATATTAATAATAAGACGAATAACAATGATGATGCAATGGTATGGATGCGATCGCTCAACGGTTTCGTCGTCTCAATGTTAATGTGTTTAGGTTGAGGTTTTGAATTTTACATTAAAGGTGATCAATGGAGGTATGAAACGTCAAAAACGCATTAATGGGTAAACTTAAAGCATGTTGGTGCGTCCGTCCGTTGTTTCCACAGATTGCATTACCTTTAAATCTAATTTATCGTTCTTTATGTAGTAAAAACAAATGAAAAATACATTTCAGCAACATTTGGGAATATATATTAAAATCGTGCAATAAAATCGAAGTATTTAAGTTATGAGACGTCGCATGAAACAGGTCATTAATGAACGAGCGTAAATGAGTCATTTTTATTTCGCTGACATTAAATGATATCTCTATACAGACGCAAATGCCATAACTATGTGTCTGCCCCTTACTCTTATCCCATTTACGCAGCATCCTAAGTTGGGGCTTGATTTTTGTGTGTTTTGTTTTGTAGTTTAAAATTAATCTTATTTTTTAATACATCGGTGAAAATTTTAAGTGAAATATGTTATTTAAGGTTTGGAAAATTGAAGAAAGTATTTGGCACCCACCTTGTTTTAAGATTACCTTTACATAATGGTGTACCCCGTCTGTCAAATGGTGCCCAGCTTATCAACTGCAGCTATTCAATGATATTTAAGCTACTTTACTCCGAGGACATCAATTCCAACCCCTATTCCTTGATATATGAATCGAAAGTCTTACTCCCCTATAAACAAACATGAATTGTCCTTCGTACGGTGTACTGTTAGGGCCATCGCGTTTTCTCTGAGGACGGAAAACGCGAAGCATGACAGTACGATGGTGACAGTACGACAATACGATGGTGACAGTACGACAGTACGATGGCGATGCACGACAGTACGATGGTGATAGTCCATCGTACTGTCGTAGTGTCACCATCGTACTGTCGTACTGTCACCATCGTACTGTCGTAGTGTTACCATCGTAGTGTCACCATCGTACTGTCGCCTTCCGTTAGCGCATGAACGGCAGCCAAGATTCCCACCACTGCCTGCAAGCTCAGTCTGTCGAAGAAAACATTCAATGTTTAGTTTTTTCGTGGAAATGCATAGGCTTGGAACCATAAAAGAATGTTTACTTGTAAGTAACTGTATCAGTGTGAACAGGCTGAGCAAGCATTTTTAGTATTTACAGTAATTAGCATTTTTTTCTTCATTGGCGGAGGCAGTGGGTTCGAATCCCATGCTAGGAGGTGTTATTTTGAAGCCTCTTCAAAATATTTTTTGACATGATTACCATAATTACATAGTAAATACTTCAATCTGTCATTGTCGTAGTAACGTGTTGAGTAACTCACTTTTTGTTGCCATTAAAATCTATAATTTCTAATCTTTTAGCCCGAATGAGCTAAAATTCCAACTTGTGCCCAGTCAGGTTAATTTGATGTGTATGAAATTAATACATAGTACTAACCACGCAAGGACGCCACTGTTAGCTAACGTTAAACATTTGGCTTATTTAAACTCGAATTGAATTTGCCTAAATATGAAATTGTCTCACTCGTGAATTAATGTATATTGAGTAATGTAGCCGTCTTTACATTTCACGTGACAATGACTTAAAGAATAAACGTTTTCAGGAAGGCTTCAACAATAACATTATATATACAGGCAATTCGAATCACCTTCAAAATTAATAGAAACATTTATTTAAAATGTACCTAAATAGCCACTTCCACCTGTCTTTGATTCCAGTGTTGGCGTCTTTTCAACTTTAACTGATTCAGTTTCCTTTTCAATTGACGGACACTTATATTACAAAGAAAACGTACAATAGCTTGAACAAGAGCTGTCAGTAGGACAGTGCGCTCGACTTTTCGTGTTTGCCAATAAACAAGCAATCAAAGTTAAAACATGTATCTTTAAAGGATGAGGGCAATATTCAATGTATTTTTGAATTAAAAAGGGGCATAATTCTGTCAAAATCTTCACAGAGTTGTGTACTCCTGTCTGTTGATGGATGTCATGATGGCAAGTAAGTATGATTTAGTTTCAAAGCAATATCTCAAACTGTTTTGAAATCAAATGAGGTGGAACGAAATACTTAAGCAATATTATATGTCGATCAAGGTCCTTAAATTTTTTAAAGTAATGCGTGACAGAGTTATCATCTCTTGTCTATAGATAGGGGTAATGATTAAAGCAGCATTCAAAGTTTCAAGCACCATCTCAAAGGGTTGGGCATAATTCTATAAAACACTCGAGACACTTATATATACTCTTGTCTTTTGATTAGGTCTTCATGGTAAGTACATATCTTTAGTTTTAAAAGCTGTATTTGTAACGGTTTTTGAAATAAAGTGAGGTGTTAACCAAGCTCAATACACTTTGTAAGTACAAAAAGGCTCATAATTTCTGTCAAAAATCTTGACAGTGTTATGTACACTTGTCTGTAGATGGAGGTTATGATGGTAAACAGGTATCGAAAGTTTTCAAAGCCATGTCTAGTAATTTTAAAAATAAAGTGAGTTGGTACGAAAAACTTTACGATGTCGGGTTGAGTAGGAAAAGTCGAGCTCAAAATGTTGCAAATTCCTGAGAAAAAACAGTAATAAAAGGCAAGTACTTGATATATACTTAAGGACAATGAAAACGCACGCCCGCACTATATGCATTTTATTACATGAAAACAAAACACAAACGACTCTATTAGATATATATCATAACTTTAATACAAAACGCAAACTTAACAACTGAAAATAATTCAAAATGTTTAAAATCAAATGAACACCAGTAAAATCGAAGAACCTAAGGTGAAAATCCCAAAATCACACTTTTTCATGACAGTAATGCAAACTTAACAAAGGTATAAAAACCAAACTGAAAATCCAAAACAAAGTCCCTCATAAATGTCTATTCGTAATGTCACCGTCGGGATCTTTAGAAACAACAATGTCCTCCATCAGCGTCTCTTACAGATGTACATCGTCGCCTCATAGACCGTACGGTGCGGATAGTCGCCTGTGAAATCTGACGTCATTCGGCCTGTAGTTTAGTGCGAAAACGCTGGTGAAGCCGAGAAAATGTAGACCGATGGACACCAAAATGGTTGGCGCTTTGTTTGTAAGACAGACCAGACTGAATTTGTCCCTAAATCTACCAAGCGGTTATATCTTTGTAGAAACATTGCATACAATTTGCTAGCAAGTCTTCAGAAGTGTTTAAAATCTAGCACCTTCTATAGAGGAAAAGTGTGTATAAGCAATTTCTATGTGAGCTTTAACGATTCCTAAAACTGACCATTGGCATAGTTTAATATTCATTTTTTTCATAAAGATTTTAATTGCTTATTTGTGTCTAACATTTCTAGAAAGTTGCGAAAAAGAAATTAATAATTAG